CAGATATTCTGAGAAAGCCACTGCACATGCCTCTATAGCATTGTTTCCCAAAGACTGGGTCGCAACCCTCAGGTGGGTCGCAAGAGTTTTTTTTTTTCGTCTCGCATCATGTTTCCCAGGAGTTTACGAAAAGAAAGTCTTTTGACTTGGGTTGTGAAGTTTTGTGACTTTTAAAATATGGGTCCCCAGATTTAGGAAACACTGCTCTACAGTTCCCTCTACCTTTGACAAACACGGTTCCTGAAGCTGACTGCAGGGGTCACTGTTGGACCATTTTCCCCCATATATTTGACTGAAAAGGAACTGAATCTGAAAACGTTTATAAATATTTTTTGAATCATTAAAGAAAAAATATAAAAAGTGAACTCCTTCACTGTTTGTCCTTCACTGTCTGTGGACATCTGTCCAGACAGATGGACCGTTCAGTCTTCGGAGACTCGTCACGTCCTCACTGACAACAAACGTCACGTTGATTTATTGTTCGTATTCCTAACGTTAAGGACACGAATGCAGAAAATCCTTTAAGTTTTAAACCGACCGCAGCGTTGCTGTAGAGTACCAGTACACGGAGTACACGATGAGTATTTGGCCTTTACTGCAGTCTGCTCCAGTTTTTCCCTGACTCAGGAGACCGGCGGGAACCTTAATGCCACGTTTAATTAACTCCATCTTAATCTGTCCCCGAGAGAAATCAGTAAAGACGAGCGCCGAGTCGTGGTTATCACGGACGGCTGCGGGTCACAGGCTAATGAATTAATTACACTGTGAGCCATCACTGCTGAGAACGTACCACGTCACAGTAAACACCGAACTCAGTGGATGAAAAACTTCAACTTCAAACCGACTTTCTCTGCCTCCGTACTGTTAGCTAAACGGAGTCAACGCACTGTTAGCCGTAGCTTTAGTTATAAAGTCATCAAATCTAGTGTTTGACACATGAACTGTCAATACAAAACTGCAGAGCAAGAAATTGTATTTTTTTTTCTGTCTCTTTAGATTTGAGTTTTAGAGACTAAAAAAACAAAAAACAGAATGTTTTCCCATGGCACT